AGTAGCCATGAGAATGAAAGGACATCCTCTGTCACACACTTCCCACAATGATGTAATGTGCCACCCTAGGCCCAAAGCAACAGGATCAAGGGACCATGGACTGAAACCTCTGCAACCATCGTCCAAAATAAACTTTTCCTCCCTTTTAGCTGATTATCTAATGTGTTTTGTCACGGGGATGGAAATCTGGCTAGCAGGTTACTGTCATCTGTAACAGCTGGCCCCAACCCCTTCCTGTCCTATCACTGTTCCAGCACCCTGGCCCCTCAGCCCCTTATCTGCAATCCTCCCTTCAATCTATGCACTAATGATTACTGGCTAAGGCAGCCCCCACTTCTTGCCCCAGGGCCACTACCACCTTCCCTGTTTGTGGGTTAGTATCTGAGGTCACTATGGTTACTAACAACAAACTTATTCATTGATTAAGAAAAACAATGGAAGTGGGTAAAGTTACAAAACCTAAGGGCCAGGGAGAACCATGCTCCTCACAAGGTAGCTACCCAAATCACTATTTAACAAGCTCTGGTGACTCTTACACACACTCAACCAGCACTGGGAAACCCTCGTTGCTATGGCTGGTGTGTTGGGGAAAACTGAATCTACAATCACCAAGACTGTAGATTCAGGAGGGCTGGGTGTCACAGTGCCACCTTGACCTCCTTACCATATGAACTTGAGCATATGTCTGGGCAGTTCGAGAATTTCTGCATGGGAATGTCTTGGGGATGAAAAAAATGTGAATGGAAGATAGAGGTAGGGGTGGCTTTAGGAATTAATTGTCTTGTAGCTATTTTTTTGCTCCATAAGTACTTTGTTGTGGCTTAGAGACATTTATGTGAGGGACTTGGGGATACTGCTGATGTGGGGTGGCACCTCTCTAGCACCCACTTGTGCTGACATTTGACTTGATCACTTTCTGTGGAATGTACAAAAGAATACTTCTCGGTATCAGTTCCCTCTTTCAGGGATGTGAAAATAGAGGCTTTGCAATCGCATGTGCCCTTACCAGGCACACGCCTTCATCTGAAGATGACGATGGTGACAGAACCTCAGGTCCTGTCTTTCCCCAAACTATGATAGACCATGCACAGTAGGTAGTATTTCCCCACTTGAGGAGATGAGAGAACTGACAGATAGTATTTTGAAAATGGCAGGGGACTTCACAAATACAAAATATAATTTATCATTAGCAAAGTTGCTATGCACATTCCTTACCCCCAGAGACAGCATTTGGTGAGGAAGGTATAGCAGCTGCAGCCTCTCAGCAAGTGGGGCTGTAATGCCCTGAACTCCAGCAGACTGGAAACATAGACAAAGGAAAGTGCCTGTGCTGTTTGAAGCTTTCTCTTGGGACTTTTCCTCCCTCCTACACCCAACACCAGGGAGAAGACCATCCCAATTGCCTCTTCAGCCCATGGGATCCTTCTGCAAGCCTCTCTTTGCTTAGTGGTGTCTAAGAGGCCAATATCACACTCTATAGTCGAAAGGAAAGAATAAACTCTGGAAAACTTCATTTTCCAAAGAAAATGAAGACGCCTATGTGTTAGTTAGCCTACCGTAGCTATGACCACAATACCCAAGAGAACAACCTCACGGGAGGAATTATTTTGTCCCAGAGTTTCAGTTCATAGTTGGCTGACTCGATTATTTTGGGCCTGAGGCAAGAATGAATATCAGAGTGGCAGAACAGGTGAAGGAAGAGGCTGTTCATGGCAGCCAGGAAGGGGGGTGGTGGGTGGGAACTAGGGAACTAATATCCCTAGGGACTTCCTCCAACTAGGACCCAACTCCCAAAATAGCACCACCAGCTGGGGACTAAGTGAGGACCAGCTGGGGACACATGAGCCAGTGAGGGTCATTTCATATATAACTATATATGAAACTGTAACACCTTGCAAACAAACCTGTGAGTTTTTTGTTTTTTAGCACCTCCCTCTACCCCACCAGTGCTAAGAATGGAGCACAGGGCTTTGTGCATGTCAGGCAAGTGCTCTACTACTAAGCTACACCCCCAGCCCCAAACCATTTTTTATAACACTGTGGAACTCATATTTTCTCCGATTTTCTTTGGCTTCAGATCAGAGACCCAAACAGGCTTTCTTCAGCCTCCTCTTGCCATTCCCTTTGCCCTCCTAAACCAGGAAGAGAGGTCCTGGAGACTGTGGTCTAGGGTTTCAGAGTCAGGCTTGCTCAGCCTCCTGTTAGCTGCCAGATTCCTGGACCTTCATTGTCTCATTCCTAAAACAAGGAGGTAAGTTCTCTCTCCCTCTCTCCCCTCCTCCTACTACAAAGCATTGGAAACTTCTACCTGCTTCTGACTCACCTGCTCCCCTCATGACTGGCTGACTCAATGGGAAGGGTTTCCCATTACCACTGAGTATGTGTCTGTCTGCTGCCTGTGGGTTTCCCTGAAAGGTATCCTGTAGTCAGAGAAAGGAGACTTTGCTGCCTCCCCAGGAGACAACATTGTGACTGGGGCTTTGGGAAGCATAAAGAACAGTGTTTCCTCTGATCAAAAATTGGCCCTTGTCCTGCTGGTGAGGACAATTATCACTGTGAGAGATTGCAGTGGCTTCAGAGAGCCTGGGGCCTTTGGGGAGTGGTGTCCTGTATACTCAGTTGCCCTGGAAGCTGGCCAGGCCTACACCACTGAGGGTGTTGACTCAGGGTGTTGGCTTGGCTGCAAGAGGAAGTTCTGGGTGAGCTGGGAGGTTCTTCTGCTTCAGGGCTGCACAAAGCTTCTGATTTGACTGATGGTGAATCTCGTCTGCCCACGCATTTGTTACTAAAAGGACTTGGGAGAGAGACCTCTTCCAGCTGCCAGGGAGGTGGCACTTCCTCCAGAGTTGAGCTGTCCTTGAAGAGATGGGTGGGAGGATGAGAATAGAGTTAGCTCTGCCATACTGGGCAGGTGGACAAACTGTCCTCCAAAAGCTCAGAGCCCAAAAGAAATCAGGGTGGAGCCAATGGAAATCAGACAGTGGAATAAATTAGCAGCTCCTTCATTCTCGGTTGTGACTATTTCAAAAACTCTTGTGCCAGAAACCCCTAAGCTAGAAATGACTGTCTGTGTTCTCATCTCATCCAAGAGTGGCAGGCAGTGTACCCGTACGTTATGCAGCGTACCCAGAGTTGCAAATTGAAGATGGAAAAGGTCCAAATAAAAACAAATTCAGAGACTTTCATTAGAAAGACTATTGCAATAGAGAGAATGTTCTCATCTCTGAAATCACAAGAATCTCAAAATCAAGCAGAAGAGGGCTTTCTTTTTTATGCAGGCAGAGATAAGCAGAATCTTTGGAGGGAAAGCTGGACAAACAGGGGGAAATGACCCCCAGGGAGAAACTGGAAAAAGCTCTGGCTGTATTCAGCCAGTTCCCAGGAGAAGCTGATGAAATTGGGCAGGGGCACACTCTGCTTCATTTGCTCAGGCTTGGGGCCAGCAGAGTTCAGGAACCTACAGTAAAGAAAGAAACTGAGTAAAGTTTGGTCAAGCAAAGCAGATGGTAAGCCATGAGCAACTGTGGACACTTGGTCAAAGACAAGAATAGATAGTGGCATGGGTTAACACTGGTGGATAGCAATGTTTAAAAAAGGTAAAATCATGCTGGGTGCTGGTGGTTCATGCTTATAATCCTAGCTACTCAGGAGGCAGAGATCAGGAGGATCGCGGTTCGAAACCAGCCTGGACAAATAGTTCTCGAGACCCTATCACAAAAAAACCCATTACGACAAAGGGCTGGTGAAGTGGCTCAAGGTAGTAGGCCCTGAGTTCAAACCCCAGTACTGAAAAAAACAAAGGTAAAATCATGACTCTCATAGATGGATACCAGTGGGAGGAAGGAGGATATAGGGAGAGGGTGAAGGAGGGTGAATATGGTGGGAATATTATGTACTTGTATATGAAAATGAAAAAATGAGACCTTCTGAAACTATTCTAAGTTGGGTGGGGTAGGAGAATAGAAGAGAATGATGAAGGAGGTGAATTTACCTAAGATATATTGTAAGCACTTTTGTAAATGTCTCAATGTACCCCAAATCCAGCAATAATATGATTATAAAAATAAAATAGAGACCAAAATAACCTGGAAGGAGGTTCTAAACAAAATTTCTCAGTCTCAACATTACAGGGTCTTGTTATACAGCTCAGGGTAGCCTGGAACTCTTAATCCTCCCACCTCAGCTGCCTGAGAGTGGGGATTACAACTGCAGCCTGGTTATCATTCTTTTTGTAGAGAGCTATCCTGGCCCTCATAGGATGTTTAGGACCATTCCTTCCTTCTACCCAACAGAGGCCAGTAGCATTCATTCCCCACTTTGACAATAAAAAAGTTCTCTCCAGATGTCAAATAGCTCCTCCAGTTGGGGAAGGGGGAGAAATTGGCCCCCAGCTGAGAACCACCAATCTAAACAATGCATAGTTCTATTGAAACTCAAATTTTTCGCTGTTAGCATAGGAAGAAAACATTCCTCCAGTCTGCACTCAGACACACATTTCTCTGTGTATGAGCTGCAAATCATATACTATCTCCCCAGCAGAATGGTGGGAATGACCAACACAGGCACTGTTCCAAATGCTCTCTCAACACTAACTCAATCCAGTTAAATTTGAGTTTCAGATCTGCAACACATCCTGGTTCTAGTACAAGTATTTCTAGTGCAATATTTGAGAGCTACATATGCTAAAAATGTTTCTTGTTTACTTGAAATTCAAATTCAACTGAGAGGACTGGTTTTTGCCAAATCTCACAACCCTACTTACGTCCAAATAAATAACTGACCAGTTAACTGTAGAAGCTTTGGTGGCATGGAATCCCTGTGACTAGTTGTGCCACAAGGAGTTACATCATTTAGCGTCTTCTGAGGCTCAGTTTCCTCACGTGAAGACGGTGACAATAGCCGCCCTTTCTCCATAGCACGGATTAGGAGTAAATGAGATAACGTGTGCAGGGCTCACAGGGCCGTTAGGACAGCGGGCTGAATTAACGATGGCTGGTTTAGAGTCCGGCCTCTCTCTCTGATGGCGTACTGACTCACCGGGTGCTTCCTGGAGAGTCACTGCTGGATTTCGCCTAGCACTGCTGGATTTCCTCCCCCAGGAGGTGGGGCGTTAGCAATCGGGTTTGGGTTTGAGCCCCAACTTTTACACCCCGACCCGGGAGAGTCCCCGGCCACCCCGGAAGCGGTCCATAGGTGGCAGCACGGACCCCGCCGCCCGCGGCTGCCCGCTGTCCGGCCGGCGCTCTGCAGGCCGCGGGCTGGCTGCGTCCGGGACCCGGCGCCGAGCAGGCCGGGAGCGGCGGAGGCCACACCCCGCGTTGGAGGCGCTTTCCGCCGCGTGAATCATCGCCCGCAGCGGCGGCGCCCGCAGTCCGCTGCAGCGCCCCGGGCCTGGCCGCGCCCTAGCCGAGCGCAGCGCACGGAGGCCCCGCAACCTCGCGCCCGCGCCGGGAGCCGCACCATGGCGGGCATCGCAGCCAGGCTGGTGAAGGACCGCGAGGCGGCCGAGGGGCTGGGCTCGCACGAGCGAGCCATCAAGTACCTCAACCAGGACTATGAGGCCTGCGGAACGAGTGCCTGGAGGCCGGGGCGCTCTTTCAGGACCCCGCCTTCCCCGCCCTCCCGTCGTCCCTGGGCTTCAAGGAGTTGGGACCGTACTCCTCCAAAACTCGGGGCATCGAGTGGAAGCGCCCCACGGTAGGAAGCGCGCGCCGGGATGCCGGGCGGGCGGGGTGCAGGCCCCGGGAGGGCTGGGGTGGGGACTCTCGAGCCAGGACCCCGCAGGCCCCCAGGGCCCTCGGTGCTGCTGGAGCCGCGATCGGTGCAAAGGAGGCTCGCGGGGGACAGCCTGCGGCTGTTTCCCAGGACCCGACAGGGCAGGGCCCCTACATCCCATTCGCAGGTCCGCCAGGGACACCGCCTTTGGGCTTCACAAAAATTCCGGGCGACGTACTGAGGCCAGGGAGAAAGTTTTATGGAACGCTAGTGAGGAGATGGTGGGAAGTGGGGTGCGCCTGCGGCAAGGGGAGGGTGGAAGTGACTATCCGCGATGTGTCTGTCTCAGGGAGGGGAAAGACCACAGCCTGGTACCGTCCCACGAAGGATCGTTACGATTTACCCACTCCAGTTTCTTGTTTATCTTTGCAAAGGGCAGCTAGCGAAACTTCACCTAATATTTATGCTGGTAACTAACAAAGGACAGGAAATACTTCCAGAAGCCAGTTCCTCATCATCCTGCTAGCCCCAGTGCTCACCTGGGAACCTCAGGGCCCTCCACATGCCCTATCCTATCCTCAGGGTGTCTGTTCTCCAACCTCCCTGGCCTGGACACAACTTCTGTTACCTTTCTATCCATCCATTCTGACTCTGCCTGCCAGGTCCCCCCACTACACCCAGAGAAGCCTTCTTGGGGAATCTAACTTCTAGCTTCTTGTCAGCAGAATAAGCCTTCCTGCCCTGCATCAGTACCCCTGAGCCTCTCGGGTCACCTTGTTACCCTAAATCTAGCAATTAGGTAGCAAGGGCTGTAGAAATCACTCTAGACCAGGAGGCCAAGGAGGGGTTCTTTCCTTGCTAACTTGCTGGGTGACCTTGGGTCAGTCATTTAACCTCTCTGTGCTTTATCTCTTCATCTTAAAGAGGCCATGCCTAACTATTTTCTCTTTTCTCTAGGTCACCAGGTGCAGGTCCCCCCCTCCCCCCCACCAGGCCACCTTTCAGAAGCCAGAGTTCTTTCCTGCCTCATGCCTTCTCACCTGCCAAGCATGCTCTGTCCTGAATCTGGCCCTCTCACATTCTTTGGGACTTTGTCACAAGTCTCCTCCCCAAAGTAGTCTTTCCTGACCATTCTCTGCATCTCCTCCACGCCTTGTTGTTCTCTATCACTGCCTTCTGCTGAGTTCCTTCATAGCATTTTCTCAGTGTATAAATACAATTACATGGGTTTATTTGTTCTCCTAATAAACTTGAGGCACCAGTGTACTCCCAGTGCCTAGCATGGCTACCGTCCCTTCCCAGCACTCACTCATTCTTTCATCAGTAATTATTGAGTGCTTATTCTGTGTCAGGCACTGTCCTAAATGCTTGACAGAAGCTATTTGTAGAATGAATGAATGCAAAACTATTAAGAACATCAAATGAAATTCTGGTTGTGAAAGTACAAGCAAGGAAATGTGTTCCTTATGCATTTGTATAGCTCTTTACAGTTTACATAGTGAATTCACACTCCTTCACTTATTCTTTCATTAAGTCAATAAGCATTTATTGAGCACCTACTATGCCAAGCATGATAATTTCATTTCTGAATCTGAAGACTTTAGAGGAGGAGACAGAGAGCCCCTATAACAGGTAGAAGTGCCTGAGGGACTTCTGGGTGAATAAATAGAGATCTAGAGCCTTTTCAGGACCATTGCCTAGAGGCAGGTAGACTGGACTGCATAACCAAGAGGGCATTTGGCCCTTATATGCCTATTAAGCAGTTAAAGGAATTGAGGCTTGGGAAAGTTGAATATTTGCTCAGAGGCAAACAGGTGTATGCAGGGTGGAGCTAGGGCTGTGTCTAGCCTGTGTGTGGTTAGAGTTCCCACCTTAAGGTTCACCTCTCTGGCCTATCCTACCTTGTCCAAAACTGCAGGGGCTGGACAAGGGGAACAAAAACATTTCCACCAAAGTTGGACCTTGGCCAGTCATTGGTGACAGTGTCAGAACCATTCAATGGAAAGATGGGGTAGAAGCCAGATTGCTGTAGACTCTAAATTAAGTGTGGTCCAGTAATCTAAGAAGGGTGTCTGAAAAGAAAGGAAAGGAAGAGAGAGAGAGAGAGAGCGAGAGCACGCACTGGCAAGTGGGACCTGGGGGTTGAGAGGTTGTTTGTTCAGATGAGAGCAACTTAAATATGTGGGAGGGTGAGTCATCAGAGACAAGGGATTAACAATGAAGGCAGGAGAAGGGTGAACGAGGGCCCCTGAATGGGGAGAGTGGGGCATGTGCAGGGCGGGACAGGGGAGCTGGGCAGGGCAGGAGCCCACTGCTCTTCCTGAGACAGATGTCACAACCCTGCAAGAGGACTGCAGAAAGGGAAGGGGATGAAGCAGAAAATGGCCACAGTCACAGTGTAGTCCAGGACCAGTGCAGGACCACAGTGAGGAGAAAGCCAGCAACCATCCAAGGTTGGCACACGAGATCCCCTAGCAGCCAGGCAGCAGGGAGCACAGGTAGTGTTGTCAGACCTCATTTTTTCCCCTAAGACGCTTATGACTTACGTTCACCTGGCAGAACTCAGCCCCAAACCTGTATGTCTGGTCTCCACGGTCAGTGATTATTATCAACTTCCTCTTCAATAATAATAGGTAACATTTGTGGGGTATTTACCAGGACATGTTAGCAGTTATCTCATTTAACCCACAGAATAATCCTATGTGATAGGTACATTTGTCATCACCAAACACAGATGAGGAAACTGAAGCTCCAAGAGCTTAAGTAACTTCCCAGCATCATAGTACCGGTATAAGTGGCAGGCCCAGGAGTCACACCAAGGTTGTCAGAATCCAAGGCCCAAGCCCTCCACCCCTCTCTTCGACTATTACATGCTGTATTTAATTCAATACCCCACAGACTGTGTACAGGGCTCCATTTTCTGAAGCATCTCTAGACTCCAGAGTCTTAACTTTGACGTCTCTGGAGAGGTTGCCAAAGGATGAGGCAGTTTCTGACACATAATGGAATAATTCTTCTGGGATAAGAGCCTGACCCTTCAGGATGATCATCAGACTGGGCCAAGTACCAGGCCCAGTCTGATCCACCCAGTGGATAAGGGGTTGGCTGAAAGGCAAAAGAACTTTCTCATTGTCCCTGCAGTCCCCAAACAGATGATGGGAAGCATGACAAGAATGTGCTGTGCGTACAGGTTGTGCTTCTGGAATTGTCCCTGCCATCTGAGTCAGGATGGCTGGGGACTGGACCCAGGTCTCACCCAGGGAAGACTCCTGCTTGACAGAGGCCAAGAGGCGTGGGGTGAGGCTCATTTGTGCATCTCTGTAGAGGATGTGAGAACTCCTACAAGCCAAGTTTCCCCCAGCCTTGACTTCCGCCGTGGCTTTGGGGTGGAGGCTCTTCTCAATCAGGAAACACTCAGATAGGGCTGCTGAGGACAGAGTTGTTCAACGTTGGCTTCCCCTGGGCTGCTTCTGACAGTGGTCACTGAGGTTTCAGCGCTAACCCATCAAGAGGCAGTGCAGGAATGAAAAGAGTTTGCACTTGAGACCAGTGAGTTCAAGTCCCAGCACTCCACCACTGATGAGCTGCGCAGCTTTGAACACATCACCTTACCTCCCTGAGCTGTTTCCTCGCCTGTGAGATGGGGATCATATCCAGCTTGAGTTTCCAAGCAAGCTACATGAGATAAAGCTCTGTGCACAGTCTTGGGTTTATAGCAGGTAACGGAATATGTGGATGTTCCAAGTACCATGGCTCTGTGGAAGAATTCACAAGGGCAGATCCAGTTCCTGGCCCTCAAATGTGTGTTAGGAAGACAGGATGACCCACAGTGTCACCAGATAGTACCCAATTATGTCCATTGCAGAGTACAAAGACTCCGGGATGCTACTCGAAATGATGAGTTAGGGATGGACTAAAGAAGGACTTCATGGAGGAGGTGGCAGGAACCTTGAAATATGGTACAATGTGGGAAAAGGAGGAATTCCATGCAAGCCAAACAACTTGCATGCAGGAGAATTTATGAGGAGCAGCACTGTCACACAGGGTGGGTGAGCATGGAGGGTTTCAAGCCCTGGTAGATGAGGCTGGACTCCATGATGCCAGGGCCAGGGAGAAAGATCATGACGGAGTAGGCTCCATGCAGGTGGGAGCATACAGGGTCCCATGACTACCTTTCTCAGCCAGGACGACCCCCTCATCATGGCCAAAAATGTCAATGGGAACCAAGGCTTCCTAACTGCAGAAGACTGCCTGGTGAGCTGACTACACTCTCTGGTTTTGTTTCCAGGAGATCTGCGCTGATCCTCAGTTTATCGTTGGAGGAGCCACCCGCACAGACATCTGTCAAGGAGCCCTGGGTAAGTGGTGGGACCTGGGGCAAGCTGTGGTGCGTCCTCTGCCAGGTTTGTGGCTGAAAGGGGTGAGGGACAATGTGTAGCTTCTTTCCAAAACTACTTGGTGGCTTCCATTTCAAAAGCTGCCTGGAATTTCTTGTCCCTGGGGTCCTTGCCAGGTAGTTCTACCCCTATCCTCAGCCCTGTGCTGAGGCACACCAGTGGGGCCTCCCGTGTCCCCCTGCACAGAGTAGTTTATGAGGTTACAATATGCTGTCACTGGAAGGACCTTCTGGACTTGCCCTCATGGTCTTCTTATTTCCTAGGGCCAGTATTACCAGTGACACATGAGACTGGCTGTAGGCAGAGGGCTGAATGGAAGCTTCCCCAAGCCAGTCCTGTGAGGTCAGGACAGGGGATGGTGACTCAGTGTGAAGGAATAGGAAACTCAGATGCTCGCTGCTGAGACAAAGCGGAAGAACCAGGATAGGGCATGCTGAGGGTTTGCAGGATAGCTCCCCAGGGAGCACAATGGGGAGGCAGTGCTTATTGTAAATACTGCTGAATGTTCACTTAATTCACACCAAGTAGCTGGATTGGGAGGGTCCCCCTTCTGTCTGAAGCTGAGTTCTGATTTGTTTCTGGCTGTGTGCTTGCTGAGGATTGGAACCCCGGGTTTCTCCAGCTTTTTAAGCCCTTCCAGCAGTGGGGCCTAGAGCTGTGATTTCGAATTCTCAGAGAATCTACACTCAATTTTTTCTTATTCATAATAAATGTGGGCCTATAATTATTGGAGCAGATTATTTGCTCTAATAAACCAGAAACCTGTTCGATGTTATCAGCCTCAACTGGCTCCCCAAGAGTCCATCAATAACAAAATTGATCAAAATTTTACCTCCTTTCCTTGCCCACTTGGCAGAGGTTCTGCTACTCCTGATAGTAACAGTGAAGATTTAGTGAGTGTATACAATTGCCAGACAGTAAACTACGCCTGCAAAAGTCTCTAAGATGCCATGGTTATTCCCATTTTATAGATAAATCTGTTGAGGTCATCCCATAGGCACACGGGGGCCTGGTATACAAATGTGTTCAAGCTAACCCCAGGGCCTGTGTGTTTAGCATCAAACCAGCCTTCCTAGATGGAGGCCTAGAAAAATGTCCCCCTCTGAGGACTGTCAAGGCCTGTACATATCCTCAGGACAGGTGCAGCTTTTGAGGGAGAAGGTGACCCAGGCTGGGAGGAATAAAACCTGGTTAATCTGACCTTGTATAAAGATTCCTGAGATGTCAGAGTATATTTTTATGTGCAGAAAATATGCCTTCCATCTCTGCCTTTTCTCCTCTCAAAAGATAGAGAACCAGGGGTCATTAAAACCCTATGGTGGCTGCTCCAGGGAAAGCCATTAGTCAGAGAAAAGTGGAAATTAACAGGGCTGGAATTCAATAGACTTTGACTAAGCTGGGGGCTTTGGAGAATCCAGAGACAATCACAGCAGTTGCTAAACACTGCTCCCAGACTAAACATCTACTTCAAAAGTTTAACAACATCTTAAGGACCAAATTGCAGGTGATAAGTACATGATTTAAGTCCTATTTAAATTCCACCAGGCCATTTGAGATAAAATGGGCAAAGCTTAAATTCTTGGGAGAAATTACCCTCTGTATGCATGAAACCAAATAAAAAATAAGTAAAATGTGCCCATTTAAAATTTCTCAGTAACTAGTCTAATATTCAAAAAAATCATGTTATTTTGGCCATTTTATTTTCTTGTCCCTTTAACTTGGAAGAATCTGCTAGATTACAGACAGTGAAATGTGGCTTAACTGAACTCTTACCCTGATCCTGACTTCTGAACACGGGGCAGTGAAGGGGTGATGACATCACCAAGTCCCAACAGGCTCAGAAGGACAGAACAAGGGCCATAGCAGTGACACAAGGCTCAGCAGTGTCAGTTTTTAGGGACTGTGTCCAGCTTATTTCTGGGAACCTTGGTCTCCCAAAATTTCAGACAGAAGGAGAGTGAATAAGGTAACCCCAAAGATGAATAAAGTAACCCGAAAGACCCTCTACGATGTGGTATTCAGCTAGTGCAGAGCCATTCCTAGTTCCTAACTAGCTGCTCCTCATTCCTTGTGCTTAAAGGTTACATTGCTATGAGATCATCTGTCATTTCACATGACGAGCAAAAACATTGTGGTCGACAGGGTCCGACCGGTACACCACTGTGTCCATTGCATTATTCCATGTACTCAGCCCAAGTCTGAAGTAAATGTTCTCACCCTCATAATGCTGATAAGAAAACTGAGGCACAAAGAGGGAAGGGTACATGTAAGCCGTAGCCCTGGGAACCTCCAGAAGAAAGAGCCCTGATCTGATTGTCAGTCCTTTGCTCAGTTGCCTCAGAACTGCCAGGTTGCTGAGCTGAGCAAAGACATTTCCTTTCCTCTACATGCACCATCTGCCCTGAAATGCAGTGAGCCCCGGGGGTGCAGAGGGTGGTGGTGGGTGTCCTTAGTCTTGAACACTTCCCAGCATCCTACTGCCTTTACTGTGCTGCCCAGCACTGGTTAACCCACAATCTTGCAACCTCTTTTCCCAGAAGGCTCAGTTTGCAGGCTTTCCCTAAACGATTCAAACCATGTTTGCAGAGCTGCTCTGACAATGAGCCACCTGCTGTGTAGAATTTGGTGACACCAGGAATGGAGTCAGCAAAGAAAAGTGCGCTATTCTGGAGGAAGAGCAGGAAATACAGGCTGAGCCTCAGGCAGGCTGGTCCTGCAACCAAGTGTGGCTCTATAACTGCTGGTAGTTTCCCAATCTTTCTGGGCCTCTTCCCTAAAATGGGAATACAGCCTGTCTCCAACTTACAATGGTTCCACTTCCAATTTTTCAGCGTTACAATGGTGTGAAAGGCATACCCATTCAGGAGAAGCCATACTTTGAGTTCTGATCTTTTCTCTGGATCACAATATGTGGTCAGACACCCTCTACACCCCCGGGGCTCACTGCATTTCAGGGCAGATGTGCATGTAGAGAAAATGAAATGTCTTTGCTCAGCTCAGCAACCTGGCAGTTCTGAGGCAACTGAGCAAAGGACTGACAATCAGATCAGGGCTCTTTCTTCTGGAGGTTCCCAGGGGTATGGCTTACATGTACCCTCTCACAAATGCTGGGCTCTCAGTCAGCCACACAATCTTGAAGGGAAGCGATAGTATTCTACAGGGTTCTATGCTGTATTCAAATAAATTGCACGAGATATGCATTACCTGATGTATCTAACTGTCTGTTATACAATACGCCTTGTGTTAGGTGATTTTCTCCAACTGTAGGCTAATGTAAGTGTTCTGTGCACATTTAAAGTAGGCTCAGGTAAGCTAGGATGTTCAGTTTCTGACTTCAGGCAGTTTCAACTTACAATGGCTTTATTAGGATGTGGCCCCATGGTAAGTCGAGCATCTGTATGATAACCCCCCTTTTCAGGATGGAGAAAAGTGAGATTAATATGGGCAAACATGGGTGGCACATTAGAATCCTGAACAAATTGAAGGGACCATAGGTTATTAATCAGTCCAGCTGTGTGAAAAATTCTCTCACCAAATTACAGAAGAGAAGGAAGATGGGGAAGAAAGGGAAAGGAATTAAAAAGAAATAAGTTAGGTTGAAAGCCAGACTGTTGGCCTTTGAAAAGCTCAGAGTATAAGGGTGGAAGTGCCAAGGTGGGGGCCCTGAGTTTGGGTCACACATAGGTGATAGCAATCAGAAGATGGAGAAGCATGTGGGGAGAAAACAAACAGGAAGAGGTCAGTTGCACACTCTTCAGTTTTGGAAGTTGAGCTTTTAAATGTTTTAAATAATTTTGAAATGATAAAATTTTAAATTATTACTTTTTTAAATTATTTTTTTTGACAGTACTGGGGTTTAAATTTAGGGCCTCCCTCTGGCTAGGCAGGCACTCCACCATGTGAGTCACTTCCCCAGCCCTAAATTCACTTTTATAATAGGTGGTCTTAAAATTTTAATAGACCTTATGCTTTTAGAACATTTTTAGATTTATAGAAAAATTGAGAAGACAGTACAGAGTTTCCAGATCCGTTTCCCCTATTGCTAACACATTAGCATGGTACTTTTGCTATAATTAATGAATCAATATCAATCAATACAATATCAATCAATCAATACATTATCATTAAAGTCCATGCTTGATTTAGATTTCCTTAGCTTTTACCAAACCTCCTTTTGCTGTCCCAGGGTCTCCTTCAGGATGGTACATTACATGTCTCTGTCATATCTCCCTAGGTTTCTTTTGACTGTCTGTTTCTCAGTTTGTTTGTTTGTTTTTACTTGTTTTTGATGATTTTGACAGTTTTGAGGAGTATTGGTTAGGGATTTTGTAGGATGACCCTCTAGAATTTGTAGGTATCTCTTTAAAAAATAATGAACATAGTTTAAAAAGAGACTAAAATATAGCCGTTGGCTGATTTGAAGGAGGAAGTGGATCCATTCTTTTCTCTCTTAATAAGACTACTTCACCACCAACCCCAACCCCAGCCTCACCCGGAGCAGAGGCCCCTCCCAGAGCACAAGTAGGTGCCCCTGAGTCATCCTTTTCTGCTTGGTGTCTGTTACACATGCTCTTTCACAGCTCTTCTCCCCTGGGGGTGCTGTCAGCACACTGTGCTCCCAGTGCTTCCCAGCTGCGTCTAAGCTAGCTCAGAAGCAGGGAAGAGGTGAACTGCTAACCTGAGGCCTTTGTCCTGCCCTGGCTGGCCCCAGTTTGGCCATCAGCTTCATGCGATGCCTAAAGGACAAATCTGTCCTTGGGTGTATGAATGGGGTGCTGGACCCCGTCAGAACTCCATTACTCCCACCCACTTTCTTCTGAAGCCGTAGGGTGTTTCAGAAGCCATAGGGTGCCCAGCCAGTGGTAGGGGTGTTACAGGATTCCAGCCTGCTCCCTATGGGCCTGTAGGACAGGATGGGACTTTTCACTGTCCCTCACCTTTTCTACCAGCTACATGTGGCC